ATTAGCACCTCAAAGATCGACGAAGTGCTTTGAGCTTACCACAAATTTGTTAAGACGGTTAATATCAATACCAGCCACCTCGTTAGGGTCGTTGAAGTAGCATCTACTGAGACATTTCAGTCTCAGTCTGGGTAATCGAAGGGAAAGAGATAAAGTGATTCCACCTCGCTTCCCTCCATACAGCTTTGGCAAAAAGAAGCCAAAAAAATGTTGCCGCATCGCGTGTGAACCTGTTGGACAGTGTCCACTCATAACACCTACAGAGCAAGTAGTTCGGAAGAACTCTTGCGGTTCACTCTTGGTCAAAATAATCTAGAACTCGCACAAATTGTAGCTGTTGATCAGCGCTAGAGCGCAAGAGAACATCAGAAATCCGACTCCCTTCCAATCGGATAAAATTTAGGTAAAGGTGCCCTCCCCAGCAGGCTCATCGGCTTTGCAGTTTTCGGCGATACCGCTGTAACTGAGCATTCGTACAAGTCTAATATGGAAGAATCTTAATGCTGTTACTCACGATGTCTTGCAGTCCTTGACTAGTTTTAAACATACAGTTAGCGAGCTCAAAGCCAATACAATATAGCCGCTCGGCTAACAGAGTGAATGCACAACTGCACTTCGGAGCAGTACAGCTACTGCTACCTTGCCACATCCGCTTGAAAAACCCTACAGTGATTTGGTCGTCTGAAACTAGAGTTAATGGAGAGCTCCCAACAGAAGACTCTACCATTCGGATTTCAGTTAACAAATTCATTAAAATTTGTTGCTGTTTCGGCAAATATTTTTCTTTGTAAGATTAGTGTATATACAAGTATATACCCTTAACAGGCAGGGGACACTAATTCTTATCAAAGTCTGCCACACCCATAAGGAAATGTCGGAGATCCTACGAGCTGTGTCGGTTTAGCTATGCCCGTATGCATATACCCGAACTAGTCACTCAGATTTTGAGATATCGATCTGAAATTTTGCATACATTCTTTTCTTCTTATGAGGCTGCTCAATTGGCGGAGCCACCGATATCAGGCCACTATAGGATATAGCTGCCATACAAACTATTCGATTACAATCAAGTCTTTGTATGGACAACTTTTTTATTTGACAAGATATCTTCACGCAATTCGGCACAGGTTATTATCCAAGGGAATGATACAATATTCTAACAAATTGTTCTGATCACATCACTATAACATATAGCTGCCATACAAACTGATCGATCAAAATCAAGAAAAATATTTTTTGATACCCTTTTATGCTATAAAACGCGCACCTGTGAAGGGTATGTTAGTTTTTTGTGATTTTTTTATTATCATCATCATCCATTGACAATTAAGCATTCGAGATTTAATGACCATGCGAGAAACACACGTTTTCAACACTTATGTTATCAAATCGGTAAAAATGAGCATGTGTTTTACTTAGAATCATTGTAATTGGAGGACACAGAAGATTATTAGATTTAAAGTAAAAAATGTCGACCAAAAAGCACAAATTTTTAAATAAAATATTACTGTATTAACCGCTGTTTTGAATTTGAGCCAAATTGGACCATAAAATAAACACCATATATTCAAGTAGTTCGACAACTGCGCCACCTGTCGACATACTCTTTTCTCATGAAAATCGTGTATTCTTACTACTCCCTGCGTCTGATATATTTCATAATTTTATTTCATTTCATTTTCTCATTTTCAAACCAGTTATTTTGGTTGAATATACAAGTACATGTGTAGAAATGCATTATAGAAGTGTTTCATTCACTCCATGAACCCTAATCCATATATACGATTATATAACCGCACACACACATATACACAAACTAACCACGCATAATTGGTCACCAAAATGTGTTGGCCATTTTAACATAATCATTTTGCGGTGAAATTTGCTAGCCAATTCAAATCAATCACGAACACACACATACTGATAAAACATACAAACACGCATGTATTATATACAAACTATACATATATATTTGCTATACACTTGTGATAACTGCATGAAGGCGTAAGTTTACGAATAAATATGCAACTCATGTTTGGAGCTCATACACTATTTTCACACACACATACATACACATGTATATGTATATACATATTAACCGCTTATGAATGTGTATATGTTTGTAATAAATTCGAATGCTTTAGTAGCCTACTATGCAAATACACACATAAATTATGAAAATTTGTGACATTCGCTCGATTTGGTGGTACACCGTGGCAACATCATAAATCAACACCTAATTGCATGACCACACACCAGCAACAACAACAGCCATCCAATACACATACAAATGTGCATTTCTTTGGAAGCGAAGTGTGTTTGTACAGGAATCTGTGCATAAATAAATCGGTATTATAATATAAGTGGCCAAAAGTAGGTGTTGATTGCTAAGTTAAAGTATGTTGCAGAGTATGTTGCCGAGGTGTAGTGGGAAAGATGAGCTATATGTATTTGTAGCTGGCGACTGGTGTAGGTGACTCAAGGCCGCTTACTTCCATTCAAGCGTTGGATGATTAATTCTCTGTGCTTAATGGTACTTTCTGTGGTCAGATTGTTGAAAATTATATTGAAATATTAATTTATGTAGAAATTGTTAAGGATGTCTCGCCTAAAGATTATTTAATATTACTATATTTTCATGATTCCTGTAATATATAATCTTTTGGCTGAGCATAGCAAACACTCAAGTGATAACAACTGAACTCTGCTAATATTAGCAATTTATATTCTTCGAAGATAATAATTTTTGGTCACAAAATTATATATTGCTTTCACTAAAACTCTAATTGTCGACTGCGTTATATAAAAGTGGTATTAAAGGTTTGTCTAAAATTTTCAGAGTCGTAAAACTTCTTTTGTGGTAGGGTCAAAGAATTGAGGAATATGAAATTTAGTTTATACCTTTTATAAACAACTTCTCACTTATTCTATGAACATAATAATATTATCCGATAGGTGGTATCCAGTGTCAAAGTTCTGTCTACACTAAATTTCTAAGCAGTCGTTCACTGCAAAATTTTCCAAATCCCTTTAATTAGTTTATTTTTCTAAAGCATAAAAAAATTACATATTACAAGTTGTCATTCGTCGTTGAAAGAACAAACGTTTTTATTTTATGCTATACTGCCCGAAATTCAGTAAAAATATCATAAAATTCTAAAAAATATTAGTATACTTTTTAGTTTACGAAATTGTTGGAAAATATTAACGAAATATTACACAACATTAAAACTTACTTTTAAATACGAAATAATTAATATTCGAAACAAAATTCGAAAACAACGAAACTCGGAGTATTCACTTTGAAATACAGGCCTTTAATTCGACCGCTTTTGGTTTGGAATTTTTCGCTGACATTTTCGTTCACATCTTGAACGTGCAAAATGTTTTATTCAGGCGGAAGGAGACTATTTTGAAGGCGACCAATAAATAAAAAAAAAATAATAATAATATTCGTTTTTTAATAAAAGTCCTGAAACTTTTGAATTGCACCTTGTATATTTAAGAAATTTATGCTAACTGCTCTTTTAGTAGTTGTGTGCACACACTAAGATTTTTTGTTGTATTTTTTTATGACTTAATTTCAGCAGTGAGTGAAATGTTTAAATATTCGTTGACAGAAAAAGTTGGTAGAATAACTGGTATTTAGTCCAAATAGCATAGATATACTCTGCAGCTATAACTAGGAACTTTTTCCTTAGTCATTGAAAGTAACTAGTAGTTATACTTTAGCAATGAGCATGAGAGCTCTGCATAATTTTAAAGATGCTCCAATTGTTCAACAGCATATTTAAATAGAAATTATTTCTTTCATTGTTCACTTTACATCTGACTTTTATTTCATAAAGACTGCTTTCGTAATATACAGGTGTCTATGTACCAGATAAAATTACTATATTATTTAGTTTCCAAAAAAAAGCCTATTTCTTTATAATACTTTAAGAAATAAAAGAGAGTTTTGATACAATTACAAAAACGTAATTATTGTTATATTCTTTTTAATTTTTAATTAATAAAATTGATTTCAGCCTAAATTAAAAATAAAAAAAAACTTTGTCTTAAATAAATAAATTTCAAAACACCAATGAAAATAGTAAGCTCCAAATTACAAATAACACGAAGTTTCAGACTTTACAGCAGCCTCGAAAATTCGATTTGCCTTGTTTAAAAATAGCTTAAAGCCAACTCTTCACCAGTGCATTCTTTTCTCCCTCCTTCTCGTACTGGGGAACAGTCGTTACAGACTCAAGGAGAACAGCGTTGCCGTTTTAGTATAAAAATTCAACTCAGCTCAGTCAGATCTATGATTAGAGTGGATTAATTGTTAACTTGTTCAAATGCAAAGCGGTATCTTAGACTTTCTACAAAACTTTTTCCAAAACTCGCTTAAATTTTAAAATAATGTTTTCTGAAGAAAAAAACATTGTTGTGAACCTTTTCAGTGTTGTAGGTATTTTTTTTATATACAAAATTTAATGCAAAAGATCGAAAATCCCATCTTAAATACAGAAGAAAAGTGAAATAATCTAGTCGCGGTTTAAATTAAAAATAAAGTTGTTTCCGCTAGATACTATTTTTTTAGGGCAAAAACTGAAACTTCAGAAGACGTTTGCAAAAAGCCAATCATCGTAATAACTAACACGCCCTAATGGATAAAAATATATATTAATTCACATAAGAAGGAAAATGCAAGTAGTTGAAGAATATATCATCAGAGTTACATTAAAAAAAATACTCGTAAAGGGCTTATTAAACCTCGATGTCTTCCAAACCCAATATATTTGTTCATATAGGGAGCTTGATTCATTTTATTACACAAAAAAATTTTTGAATATTAACTAGATATATTTTCTATAATAATTTTCAGGCTTTTTTCCAAAACAGTTTCATATTACTGCATGACCAAAAACTGCGAACAATAAACATGCACGTTTCATTTGAAAAATACAATGCGCACTAATGTAATTGCAGCAGTGTGCACCAAATAGAAAATTTCCTACCTTTTTTGTGGCGCCAATTTCGACTTCATAAATATTCATAAACACAATGCGTTGCGGTGTGACGCACGTGATTTTCGCTCGTTTTCCTGTATTAGTTAAAATGCGCGCGGCACAAGCGTCACAGAAAAATGCGCTACAATTACGAATAACGGTATTTGCACTTTTGCACAACAGCACAGCTCACACACACACACACACTTGTATTAATATGTAACTATGTGTGTAAATATTTTTCAATGCAACCACTGATGCCGCCACATTATTGTGTGTGCAACATAATCACAATAAATTGTCGAAACCGCGCGAACGACCGCAAAAAACGCAACGCCGAGCAATGCAACGCGACGCGGCACTAAACAACAAAGCCACACGCGGCGCTAGCGAATTCGAAAAACCAGCCAAATAAGTGCGCGGCACAATTGCAACGGTAAAACGTTGTGTGTGGCGGTTTGGATATGTAGGCGCACTGAATAATTTGACACTTGCAACAAGCAGCGCGCACTCAACACCACTGCGCTGCCAACACAGTTGCACTTGACTGTTGAAATTGCAGCGGAAACGGAAGTTCAAAGCGCGCACCGCAATGCAAAAATTACACACACGCGCACGAATTATTGCTGTTGCATTAGTGGCAATTTGATGCGCTGACAGTGGGGTGCGCTTGGCGCGCTTGTGGCAGGGTGAGTGATGTGCGGCGCAACGTTCGCCGTTTGCTGCTGAGAACCGCAAAGCCGTTTAGTTGCCGGTTGACTGCACAATTTTACGCAACAACACTACAGCGTAATGTGGCACGTTGCCGGTTGCAAAGTGAAAATAAAAATATTTCGGATTGTTTGTTTGCTTCTCCTTTCTTTTTTTTGGGTTGTATGTGTTTCTTTTTCGTTTATTTAACGCGTTGCGCGACTTTCCAAATGCAACCACAACATGAGCAACGGTAAAATGCAACACGATTTGCCGTTAACCGCATTTGCGCTCACCCAAAACCAATAAACACGAATTTGCCTCAAAAGCTGCGATTTCACCAACCAGTTTGCCACATTTAATCTATTGACGGCCAGAATGCGCTTCAAACGCGCGGACGTGTCCGAGTACATACACACGGACAGATAAGCGCGGTATTGTCAATGTTGCAACAGTTGTAGCAATCGTGCAACATTTATGCACAGCTTAGTGTTGCAGTCACTCACACACACATATGCGTTTGTTGTATGTAAATATGTGTCACACTGACTATGACGAAATCGGCCGACTTGCAATCCAACAGACACACGCGACAGCACTGAAACGCACAGCACCGTTTTAACTATTCAAGCGCAACGCACAATACAGGGTCTCTTACACACATCCGTCCGCATCGGCGACCGATGTCAACAAGCTACAAATTGCAACTAATTCAAATCCAGCAAACGGATTACTTCCGACGATGCCGCCGATGCGCAGGCCGATGATGATGATGATGATGACGACAACGACGATGACGACGACGACGACGACGGTGGTGACACCGCCGAAGTCAAGGCTGGGCAAGACGATGAGCTGAGCCGCTGTGTGGCAAGCAACGCCAAACAGTTGACACTCGTGCATTGCGTGCTTCGTATTGGAGGCGCTCGGATTAGCTAACGAGTGACTACGACAAGGTGGTTTTGCTGCGCGAAGTTGACGTCGGCAACGAAGAGGGCAGGCATATTGGTTGGTGACCTCGGCTAATGATGATAACAGCGAGCAGCGCAACAACAACAACAGCAATATCATAGTTAAAAAAACAACACAAAGCACATATTAAAACAACAACAACAACAAATGTCCACGAAATACAACAAAAACTGTGCTCACAAATGCTGCATTACAACAACAACAATAATAATATTAACAACAATATCGGCATTGTCTACTCAAGTTATGCAGTTTGTCTGTCGCACCTTGGGATATGCCTCGCATTTCGTTGTTGTGCGGCTTTGCTTGCATTCCTCGTCTTTGTTGTTTTGTTATGCGGCATTTGTGGCATTCCCAGCTCGTTTACTCTCTCCCACTTTTTTTGTCCCAATAAATTTGCTCTCGGGTTTACTCTTTCTCACTATTCTCGTGCTCATTTTGCTTAAGTGCTCTCTTCCATAAAGCTTTTTTCGTTACAGTTGTTTGGCGTGTGGCATGTTAAAGGTCCATAACAGCATGCGTGGATTTCTGTTAACAGCACTGAAATAACAGTTAGATAGAACAAAGTCTTTAAGCATCTATATACATTATAATGTCAAAAGTAAATACAATCAATCCAGACCTTCTTCTAACATCAATATAATCTATATCAAGATTTTCGAGTTTTCTTCTAACTTAAAACCGTTTAAATTGCTCAAAATGTTTGATGTTTTAATCAAACTAAGTGAACAAATTTTCGTTAACAGGTATTTAGCGCTGAATATGAATTAAATCGGTCTAAACCTCATAACCTTAAAGGGGGTATTCTAGTGCAGAATTTCAAAAAATTCGATTTTTTTTTATGCTTTCAAAGTTGAACTATTTAAGAATATGTTTACGCGAGGATTTTTGAAAATTAAAATTATCTTCGAAGATATAGACATTTTATTGACTCGGCCTCCAAACTGGTTCGGCTGCGTCTAATCGAACAAATACTTAATTTTTTTTTACTTATTTATTTCATTCAATTGCGACATCATTGCAAAATTAAAAAATTTATATTAATCGTCAATGATCTTTAGTCAAGTCAGTAACCGTAAGCCCCATTGACATACGAAACTGTTGGTGTCTTCGTAAAATGTAAACAAAACGTTCATTGAGTTTTTGACTTCACTTAAAGCAAACAAAAGGGTTATTGACCTCCCTAAAGTTCTCTTCAAACAGTTGGCGTCCTCGCTACAGATAAACAAAAGGGTCATTAAACTAACAGATCATTGACCTCAGGTTGTTGACCTCGCTAAGAGCAATTAAAAGTGACAATGTCCCCAAAGATCCTTGACTTCCGAAAGGGTTGTTATAATGTGAGAATTATAAAATATTTGGTTACATCCGAACTTGGCTATTACTTACTTCATTTTTTTCATTTTGCAAATTGTCTTTTATTTTTCTGTACAAAGACAAATTACTAAATATCATTCAACGTTTTCGGATTTATGGTGTCTATAAATGCCCAAAATATTTGTGATAATTTTTTGTAGCAGATGCATTCATTATCAAAACAAGAAAAAAAAAGTTGGCTTCGTGTGTGCTATAATTCCCTTCACAATTAAAAAAGTTTTCTATATAAGGACCTGATTTTGATCGTTGATTTTTTATGGCCGCTTTATGCAATAGAGGTCCGATATCGAAGGTTCTGACAAATGAAAGGCAAGAGAAAGACGTGTGTAAAATGTCGATATCACGAAAACTGAGGAACTAGTTTGCGTATATACAGACAGACTGACGGATATGTCTAAATCGACTCAGTTCGTCACGCTGATCATTTATACGAGTATATATATTTTATAGTGTCTCTGACGTTTCCTTCTGGGTATTACAAACTTCCTGCCGAACTTAATGTACTCTCTTCAGGGTCTAAAAATAGCATATGCATTTCCTTTCTTTCTGACATAACTCAGCTTGTGAAAGCTGTAGTAATGAGAATATTGACATCTAGAAATCTATTGAGAGTAGATCCTGTAAGTTTTACGTTCATAAATTAATGTATAAATTTTTTTATTGTTTTTTAATTTGAATATAAAAAATCCCCTTTTGGAATTTAATAAAATAGCTTGGCATCATTCCCACATGCAGTTCTGCTCTGATTCTCTTTCAAAAAGCTTTTTGAAGAGAAGAGATATGCATTTTGACTCCAGTTAAAGCATTACGCTCTCAAACCCAGCTCCCACACACTTGTACACAATAAATGCTGCTTGCTACATCTCACACTCACACTCTCTTTCTCTCTCTCTCCCCACAGGCAGGTTTTCCGAATGTCGAGGATACATTTCATTTGCCGGTAATTTCAAATTTACGCTTTTACGCTTTTCCACAATTTCCCTTTTGTGTCGGATGACAACGATAGTAGCAACTGCAATAACAAAAACAACAGCAATGATACAACAACTTAAAAGCAACAAAAATTTATGTAAAAACAACAACATTAAGTAAGAGTAAAGCGGCAGCGTGAATTGATGTTGCATATAGAAGGCGGAAAACGTTAACTGGTAACTGCAACAAAAACAATAACAACAGTAATACTATTTAACTAAAGTAAATCCATAACAGAAATGTGCCGATGCAATGCCACTGACGCTGGTCACTTTTCACATTTATTTTCGTTGTTGTTGTTGTTGTTTTTGATTTCGTTCTTTTTTCTTGTTGTTGTTATCTGTAGTATATCCGACTGCACTTTTATAAAATCGATGGCTTATAAGCTTACAGATAAATGCTACGGATTTCAGTACAAAGCAAGCATCATGGGAGCTACTACAAACTCACACACACACACACACACACATGTTTACCACAATGGCACTAGAAAACTGGAGTTGCAAGTATACCCTCCAGTGCTCATCTTATATATCACAAAAAACCTGCACCACAACATTTTCGTCAAACTGAAAATGGAAAAACTGTATGAGGCCCACAAACTGGAGGAAAATGGTGGCAACTACTCCACAATGAACAAACATCAAATGTGACGTCGCCTGAGAGCCCCGAAAAATATATGATTGTAACTTGTGTGTCACTACAAGCTTGTACAACTCTGGTGGATAAGTGAATCCGAAGAGTCCTTTGACCCACAAACTTTCACCCAGAGACCTCACCCCGCTCTCTCCTACAGGATGCAAGGGCATTACCTAAGTACGCACAGTAGATTAGAGTAAATTAGATTTTGGGGTTTCTTCACCCGACTGCCGAGCGAATGCTTTATCTGCTTGCAACACACTAACACACTGACGCAAGCACACAAAGTGAATATGCAACAGTATAAAATGCCGTTAGTTGCCAGCAAATGTATTGCTGTATTTGTTTTATTGTTGTTGTTGCTTGCTCTTGCTATCTACTTGCCGCACTAGTAGCAACCAGCAGCATTACATTCCGGTATGTAATTATGTATGAGTGGGTTAGTAGGTGTGTGTGTGTGTTTGAGGCCGCATTTCCCTGTGCGATAATGAACAAAATCCCTTGTTTTATGACTGCAACAAAGACACACGCAACGACACACATACACATGCGCAGCTGACCAGTTGTTTAGGCGTCGTAGTATTGTTATTGTTGTTGTTTTGTTAAAATGTACTGACTGCCGACATGCTGTTGTCTGTCGCTTTGAATTTTTTACGTTACTTTATTACAAGTACATTAGTTGCGGTTTTTAATGTTATTTTCCCTGTAGTTGCTCATTAACCGGCATGCTTGTTGCTAGAGAAATTATAAGTTACTCATACGCCAAGGCGGTCTGCAGTTGTGATTTGCTTAAGAAGATGATTTTTGTTGTTTACCTGAATTTTAGTTCGCATTTTATAAAAAAAATTTATCTGTGGCGGTTTTTAGTTTAATTTTTGTATTTTTTTCCTATTCTAGACAGTAAAAATATAAAAATTACTAAGATTTTATATACCGAGAAGTAGAGACATCTTTGAACCTTAGAATGGCTTGTCTCTTTAGAATTTTGTATGGTTATCTTGTGGTAAAGGAATACGTTTCGCTATCGATGCCAAAAAAACTTAAAAATATAATAACTTCTATAAACGCCCAAAAAAACGCCAGAGACTCTATTAAGTATATGGTATATATAAATGATCTGCTTGTCGAGTTGAGTCGATTTACCCATGTCCGTCTGTTTCTATATACGCAAAGTAGTCTCTCAGTTTTTGATATATCGAGCTGAAATTTCGTACCGGTCCATCCATAACATATACAATAGCTGTTATACAAATTGATCGATCAAAATCAATTGCTTGTATGAAAAACTTTTTCATTTGAAGAGATATCTTCACAAAATTTTACACAGTTCATTATCAAAGACGACAGTGCAATCTCCGAAGAGATTATTCAGATTGGATCAGTATAGCTTATATCTGCCATTTAAAACGAACAATCAGTATCAAGTTCTTGTAAGAAATGCAACCGAAGTTAACTTGGTTTTCCGATTCTAGGTTCGCAATACTATGACGACAGTAATAGCAAATTTTCAAAAAGATTTCAGTTTTAAATATTGCGAACAGGAATTTTTTAATAGTTTTACTAATAACTTAAGGGCTTACAACGGTTTCATGGCTTTAACAAAAATAAAACAAATTGAAAATTCTCCAGTTGATCCCAGTAATAGTTTTGGAGGTACAGCTCTGAAATGTTACGCGCTCGAGGTCAGCTATATAGTCACTTAAAATTTTAAACGCGTTTTTCTCGAAACTGTGTTTTCAAAGTCGGTTATCAAGATTTCTCACGAGCTAC